GAGAGTCCAGTAGAGGCTGAGCCTGGGGGAAAGGACTCATTGCTCTCCTGGCCTTTCACCTGCACAGAAAGCAGTAAATAAAGCTCTTATTCTCTGGAGGCCACTTACCTTGTCTCTTACACCTTTCTTCAGAATCTCCTACAGTAGACTTAGCATAGGAGTACAGGAGCCACAGCTGGTTCCTATCTGTGTCCCTAGTGCCTTACCCAAGGGTAGAGCAGCATGACTACTGCTCATAATATTGTTTTCACTTTTTTTTTGTTCTTCTTTTATAGTAATATTCTTAAAAGCCTTTTATCAGATTTTATTCTTATAATATTTAAATATTCAGTGTTCCTTAAATTATTGCTCATCATACTTCGATTACAGGTAGAACTTAGTAAATGCCAGAGCTAAGATTCAGACCATGTGCCATCTTCACCTTAAATAACTCTCATCATGGGAGGCAGTGGGTTTTGTGGTTTGAATGGTAAGTGGTCAGAGCCACGTGAAAGACATCAGGGTCCCCTCTCCCCCTCCACTGAGTTCTTGGCCCTGGTGAGTCCACAGAGGCTTCAGGGTATACATAAGGGCACAGACCTGCAACAAGCTCCCAGACTGACCCTGGCCATGGCACCTCGGCATAGGCTTTGCAACATCAGAGGCAGAGGTGGGAGTAGAAGGTGTAGAGTGGTGCCTGTCACTCCTCCTGTGGCGGGGAGCCAGAACTCCTGCAGAGACCACGAATGGCTGGCTGGGAAGGGAGGCAGGTGCCTGAACCAGTCTTCCCCTCTGCTGGAGACAGGCTGGGAGATGTCTTTGTTGGGAAGGGTACGGTTCATTGGCTAAGGACCAGCTGTAAACATGGGGCCTCAGAAGACCACCTTGGTGGCCAGCTGGTAAGACAGGCTTGGATGAATCCTTCTGGCTTCCATGGGTTTGCTTACTCTTCCTCAGTGACAACGGGGTGAGTGTGTACATTTGATGGGGCACCATTCCTCTCCCCTACCTCCTTTCCTCCTTTATCCACTTTTTTGTGGCTTGCAAAGAATATGAAATCTAATGAACAGGAGCTTCAGCGGTTTAGGCATTAGAACCAGAGCACCTAACACTGGGTGATGTGAGGAAAGAGCTTAATGCTAAGAGCACAAAATGGGCTCTTCTAACTGAGTGGGTCCCAGCTCTACCACTGAGAGAGTGTCATCCTTCTGAACTTCAGTGGGAGTATAAACTTACACCTCACAAATTATTATGAAATAAAAAAAGGAAATGAAAATGCTTTACAGATTTCAGTGTACTACTCATTTCCAAAGAGTGTTCTGTAAAACCTCAGTATTGCAGGATTTTAGCAAGGGTTTGGTGAAACAAGGCTATCAAACAAGAAACTGCTGAGTGATGCCAAACGAAACCAGTGACCTCAAACCTACATTTTTATGCTTCCTGTGCCTCTCTGGGAGGAAAAGTGTATGCAGTACCTCTAAATGAATCACTTTTCACAGAGCAGATATGCTTGGGAAGCCCAAGACTAGGCAAAAAGGATAATAGCCAACATTAATTGAGAAGTACTGTATGCCAGACACTATACCAAAACCTTTTACTCGTAGTATCTTTTAATCCTTACAACATGATGTTGTTATTATCTCTGTTTATAGATAAAAGAGTTTGTTGCAGAAAGGTTAGGTAAAATGTGCAAGATTATAGTCAGTACATTCAGAACTGGGATCCTAACACAAGTAGGGTGACTGCCAAACTCAGTTATTTAACAGCCACATTCTACTGCTCCCTCTTGATACTTGTTGGCTATTGTTATTATTCTAAAAGTAATAATAAGACTAAGACCTTGTTTATGTATGTTACGCAGATTGAATATCCCTTATCTGAAATGTTTGGAACCAGATGTGTTTCAGATTTTGGAGGAGTGTTTTTGGTTTTCTTGTTTGTTTTTGATTTTGGATTCTTTGCATGGATTTTACTGTTGAGCATCCTTAATCCAAAAACCTGAAATTCAAATGCAGAATCCAAAAGCAGAATCTTTTTGAGTGTCATGTTGGCACTCAGAAAGTTCTGGATTTCAGTGTTTTGTTGGATTAGATCACTCAGTCTGTATGTATTTGTCATTCACAAGTATATGTCAAAGACAAATTTAAGGCCAGGCGCTGTGCTGCTCTCTGGGGTTACTAGTGTGAAGAGTCTTCTCTGGGCTTTTGATGTAGTGGGAAAGCGGAGTCACATAAGCAGGTGGCTGCAAAAGAATGTAATACATACATCCTGTAATTGGGAGAGGCCAAAGTGCTGGAGGAGCTCTTGGGAACAGAATCTACCTCAAACCCAGTGGAGGAGTAGCTTCTAATTAAAGGCCTCAAAATGAGTTAGAGTTAGCCAACTGAAGGCATGGAGGTCTGGAAGATGCCCTAGGTAGTGGCCTAGTATTTCCAAAAGCTCAGAGGCAAGAGAGGAAGCATTAGAAAGGGGATGGTGAGAGTGGAGAGCTTGAGGGTGAGCAGGAGACCTTTTCATGGACATTCTTTATTAGCTGGGCTATGACACTAGTACTCTGTTGACATTTGTGTTCCTTGAGGTCTGCTTTTATGGTAAGCACCCTGTAAATAGCTGTACCATTGCACTTGTGAAAATGTATTATAATGAGTCTGCTCAGTGGTGTGGTTCTTGTATTAGGTAGTTAATATCTTAAAGTCAGGATCTGTGTCTTACTCATTATTATATCTCCAGAAGCTAACAGCATGCATTGGTACTCATTAAACATTGTTTGTTGAATGAATGATGGGTTTTCTTGGTGAAATAGATTACACCTTTCTTGCTTTCTTGAGCCAACTATCACTTTTCTTCAGGTTCATCATTATATCCAGCAGTTAATGTCGTATGTGACAGTTCAGTGATGCCCTGAGGGCCTTTTGAGGTGCTGTGCTCTGAATTCCTTTTTCAGCTTTTCATTGTCCTGTTCTTTTTCCTCCCTGCCTGGCCAGTGCCTGATTGTAATCAATCTACTGGATTCTAAAATATCCTCCCCAGCCTTCTTACTTCCTTCTAATCTGCAGCGGGCTAGGAACAGGATCCCCTAAGCATGGTTTGCTAAGACTATTGGTGACTAAGGGTTCATAACCTCTGATTGATGTCCTACAGTAGGGCTCTTACGGGAAAAGTATAACATAGGACTTATATGTTAGCTGCTCAGAGGCTTTCTTACTTTCTGTCCTTCCTGCCACAGAAAAGGTCAGGGGTTGGGGTAAGGGGTCAACAGTCTGAGAGCCCCTGCCTGGAGTAGAATAGCTGGCTGACTATTCACTCTACAGACCACAAAGAGTGCTGGTCTCCAGCTACAAACTCCACCAGCTTCATTCTGGTCAAACATTTGACCCAAGCTAATTTATCCAAGCTGACTACAGACCTCAGGCAGTCTTCTGGTAAGGGCAAATTCTGACCTTCACCTGAGCAAGAAAAGAAGAGGGAGTGGGAGCTAAGGCTGGAATGACTACTTTTTTGTTGTTGTTTTTTTAAATACAGGGTCTTACTTTGTTTTCCAGTCTGGGCTCAAGTGATCCTCCCACCTCAACCTCCCAAGTAGCTGGGACTAAGAACGCATCACCATGCCCAGCTTCTCATTCAACCACTTATTAGCTGTGTGAACTCTGAGCTTCAGTTTCCCCATTTACAGTAATAATACCTACTGTGCTGGAGAGCTGTGAGAATTCATAAGACTAGTTGCATGACATAACCATTCCTGGCTTTTGGAACTTTAGATAGGAGGATTGAAGGAGGAGGAAATGATTGGGACTTCATTCTGAGAGCACTTAGAAAGAATGGCTTTAGGAATTGCCTGGTGCTTTTGACAACTTAAGCCTCTTGCCTGTACACACCCTGAGAGGAGCCTGCCTTTGCAGGCCTGTGCCATGGGCTAGAGGAAAAGGGGTATGGGGTAGGCAGGACACAGATTCCACCCCCAACAAACTCAGCTCAGGAAAGAGCATAGGACAGTTACCCAGATAATTTCCACATGAGGCAGAAAGAACCCCATCACCTGAGCAGGATAGAAGCTGCTCTGTGGGGCCATGTCTCCTAAGGGAAGGTTCTGGAGGTAAGATAACCTTCTGATCTATTACCTAGTCCAGGACAAGTACCAGTACTGTCCGAGCAACTAGGGATGTGTGTGGTCACCCAACCCAGAGTGTCCTATAAAAGTGATGAGCTAGTTTTAGGCTATTTTAGGTCGCATCTTCACCTTCTTTCTTCACCTGGATAGCTGCTCCTCATCCTTTCAGACACCCATCTTCTGGGATCCTGTCTTCATGCCCAACTGAGTTCAGCTTTCCTCTGGCTTTTTATACCACCTCTTTGAACCTCTAACATACTATTTATCTCAAACAGTACTCCAACCATCTGCTTATTGTCTGCCTCCCTCGTCAGATTAGGTCAGGGACTATAGCTGGTTTATTTCATGTCCCCAAGATGAATCCTAACACATATTAGATGTCAGTAAACATTTCTGAAACTAACCTGCCTCTGTTTTACCTCCTCTTGCCCAGCACAGATGGGCAGACACATAATATAGGTGCTACTTAATGTTTAGTAAGTAGGTGAATGAATTAAATGTTAAGAGAGCATTATGGGTGCATCCCCATAATCTCGTACTCTAGAGGCTGAGGCAGGAGAATCAAGAGTTCGAGTCCAGCCTGTGCTACATAACGAGACCCTGCCTCATAAAAAACAAAGTCAAGAGAAAGCAGTTGAGATCTGTGGCTCATGAATTTTTTTTACCCCCCGGAGAGGGGTGCACCATTCCTGGAGGTACTGCAATACCAGGTAGATGCGTGGAGTGGACAGAGCAATCTCCTATTCCATCTCCCTGTCCCCAAAATGCATTTAATATATTGTCCTCGGATAGAGGACATATCAGATATTAAACTGAAAGAACAGATACTACAACTGATCTTAGCCAAAAGGCCGAGAAGCAATGGCTCATGAATTTTCTAATAATGGAAGGGTTTATTTTGCTGTCCCCACAGTCCTGGTTACCCGGGAGGATGACTTCAACAATCGGCTGAACAACCGTGCCAGCTTCAAGGGTTGCACAGCCTTGCACTACGCTGTCCTGGCTGATGACTACCGCACCGTCAAGGAGCTGCTTGATGGAGGTGAGAGCTGGGTAGAGGAAGGGCGAGCTAGGATTGGCAGAGGAGGGAGTGCCTAGGAGGCTCTGCACTTTGGAAATGCCATGCTTCCTCAGCACCTGTTACTCTTCTTGAGCTAGAAATACCTCAGGAGTGGCTGCACTTCCTATGAGTGACAATGTGCATATGTGATTTGTCCTCCTGTGACTGCTGTATGGTCTTTGCCCACTTGTGTGTAATACTGCATGCCATCCTGCCTGTCTACACAAGGTTTGAGAATTATCTTGATTATTACCTTCCCCAAAAGTGTTCTCCCTTCCCCCTGTCACCTCCAGAGCAGGGCCAGTGGAACAAGGGAGAGCCTTGTCCAATCCCTGACAACCCAAAACACAAAGTTGTCCCCATCATTGCATTTGTCACAAGCTGAGATTGTTTTTGTTTGCTCAGTGGCCTTCTCTCTAACTTGACTGAGAGTTCATTGAAGGCAAGACCCATGTCTGACTTGTTTCAAGTGTCCCCAGGAGCTAGCATAGTACTTGGCAATAGTAAGTACTGCATAAATTCTTGCTGAATGATGGATACCCTTCATATTCAGAAGCATCAGTTTCATTGGAGGGACAATATGTATCTTCCCCAGACTTGGGCTAGGCTGATTCTCTCCAAGTCTGGTACAGAGTTACCTGCCAGACACCTTCTAAGCAACCACTTCCCCTCCTATTTCCCCCATCCAAGTCCAGCCTCTGGGAGAGGGAGGCAAGCATCTCGCTAGCATGTGTGGGTCCAGGCAGGCCCCTGACTGAGTACATGGCACAGGACATCTGTCCATGCCCTCTGGCTTCTTCTTGAGGGCTATGGACCCATTCTTGAGGTTAGACCTCGGGGTCCTCCTTGTCAGGTACCATTCTCCATGGAACCCGAGAGCTGGAAGTTTCCTCCAAGGTCCTCTGGACCACTCTGATGATTGCCCTCCCAGCAAAAACTCTCCAATAGCCAGCTGGCATTCTACTGGGTTCCATTAGAGACCAGAGGACCCTGCTTCTTCCCCATATAGTCCATTCCATTTTACTTCAGCTCTGGCTGGTAGAAACATCTTTTTAATAAGCTGTGATCTTCTCTGTAACTTCTGCCAACTGTTATCTGCTACCCAATCACTTTCAAAAACCAGCCTTCACAGAAAGTTCTTTCCATCCCAGAACCCTTGCCTGCCAGAGTATCCCTAGATCCTCAGGCTGGAGGGACTTCCCTCCAGCCCCAAATCCTGCCACCTCTTGTCAGCCACAGCCACACTGGCTACAAACCCAGGACTGGCCCACAGGCCAGCCTCCAAAAGACCTGCCCCAAAATGTTGGTTTGGGCACATAACTGTAAAAGCAGGGCTACTCCCTGGATATGGTGACTGATACTTGCAGAGTGAACACTCACTGCTCTCAGAGGCGGAGATTTAGAAAATGTCCCCAAGCAGGATACTTCTTACTTTGTCCTTTGGAAAGCTCTCTGACGAAACATTTGTGGCTAAGAATTGGAACATGCACCATGGGGTTTCTCTGTGCTTTGCTTTAAAATCAATACTCCCAGTCATTGTCTCATGGTTTATATCCCCACTCCTCTCAGCCCCCAAATGGATAGTGTTCACTCTATAAGGAGCCCCTCACACTCGCCTTCCAGATCGAACACCTTTGAAATAAAGAAGCAAGGACCTTTTATGAAGCCCCCTCCACCCCCACCCCCACCCCCAGGCCAAGGCTGGCCCTTTGAGCCATTCCAGGGGCATGGTTCCTGCCTGGTGACTTGGAACGAATGCCCTGAGCCCCCACCTTTGCATTTCTCCCACCTGCCTTTTTAGCCAGCATCCATTTATACCCCCTGCCCTAGCCTCCCAGCCTCAAGGGCCAAAACCATCAGCCCACTTGTTTCTCCCACCCAGACTTGAACAAGTTGCCATCACTCAGAGCCTGCAGGCCTGCCCACTTCCGACCTTCCTCCCCTCTTTGACCTCCCTTGGTTTGCCTGTGTGTGTGACCAGCCATCCGAGAGGCAGGATCCTGCTTTCCTATCCTAGGGGCTGTTGCCTGTAACATTTCTAAAATCGTCGACCTCAGCTGACTATCTCCAAAGAGTCTATCTTCCTACCTATCAACTTTTTTAGCCTGCACTACTCTGGCCACCAGCAATTTGGAGGGAGGGTCTCTCTGTAAGATCCAAGGCAGGCCTAGGCACAGAGGCCAGCCTGTATTCACAAGGTCCACACGGAACCCTTCTTAAAATTGTTTATCAGGAAGGGTATTGGGAGTTTTTCTGGACAGACTCCTCTAGAATGGTTTCTTTTTTATTTTGTTATTGTAAAAGGGACCTGCATTATGCATATTTCATAGATGCATATAGTATGCATGTCTGTGTGTGTGTGTATGTGTGTGTGTGTCTGTGTCTGTGTGTGTGTGTTTTTGGTGGTATTCAGGCCTTGTGCTTGTTAGGCAGGCATTGTACCCCTTGAGCTATTCCACCAGTCCTTTTTGCATTGGGTAATTTCAAGATAGGGTCTCAGGAACTATTTGCCCAGACTGGCTTCAAACTGTAGTTGTCCTGATCTCTGCTTCCCAAGTAGCTAGGATGACAGATCTGAGCCACCAGCACCCGGCTATATACAATATGCTTTGAACAAGTTCTTGAAAGGGCTTTTGAATTAACTAGTGTTGATCTTCTGCCACCACCCTCTGGAAAAGTAAGTATATAGGCCTCTGTGCTTTTCCCCCATGAAGATTCTGCTCTGCCCTGTTGATTACTTAGGAGCAGGAAGGCTCTGCTTCAACACTTGACTTCAAGTACAAGAAAATGTAGAGGGAAGAGAGAGGAGACAGGATGACCGGAAAGAGGAGTAGTTGGGGAAGGTGGTCAGAGTCCTGGGAGCTGACTCATCCTAGTATTTCCAGGGTTGTCGAGGTGTATCAGCAACCGTTTCCTTACAGGGATGTGCTCTCACTGGCAGATCTGTCTTTATCATGTCGGCCTTTCTTGACCTAGGGGCCTTCAGAGAATTGAGCCCTAATGCTCTAAGACATCCATTGTACACAAGGACTTAATTTCTCTCCCAGACATCTAAAATGATACTAGGTATATACCACTCTTGGGAGAATTGAGAAAATCATTATTTATAATTTTTTATTGAGACACCAGGTTCACTGTGGCCCAGCCCAACCTTGAGCTCTTGATCTTCCTGCCTTAGCCTCCCAAATGCACCACCACATCTGGCTCATAATTTTCTAAATGTAGGTCGAAGTAGAAACCCCAGTTGACAAAGCCTACAAGGAGCGAGCATAAGCTTTGGCATCAGCTGAGTACCACCTCTGCCACTTAACAGCTGCTTGACCCCAAGCAAGGGACTGCCCACTTGAGGTTCTTTTTCTTCATCTGGAAATGGGGGTGATGCCACCTACTTTCTCCAATTTTGTAAGTATTGGGGCATGTGTAGGTTCTCCAGAGTTGGCACTTCATATGTAGTATCTGTTACTAACTTCAGAACACTCAGTGCTTATTTGTTTAAAAAAGAATCCAGACCCTCCTAACATTGACTGACTTTAACAGTTGCTCTAGTCTGACCCTCTCCTAATCCTCCTGCCCATCTGTAGTGTCTATCTAGCCCTTGGTACTTCAGCTGTTGCAGTTCTTTCTGCTGCTCATGTCCCTTTAAGACTTTGTTTCTTAGGCTGGTGGAATTTTTCGATTTTTGGCAGCACTGGGATTTGAACTCAGGGCCTCACAGCTTGCTAGGCAGGCACTCTACCACTTAAGCCACACTACCAGTCCTTAGTGGAATTCTTTCTACCTTCCACTCCCCAGCTTTCAGGCCGTCTTCCTTCTGCCACCTTCCTTGTCCTCTGGGACTTGGGACAATCCCATTCTTCTAGACTGAGGTAGGTTGAAGGTCAAGATTGTGTCCTTTTTTTGTCCTGATCCTTTACTCCACACCCTGTGCATTACTTACTACGCTTTTGTATGTACTAATAAATCACCAAAGCCACTGTAGGTTTTTTCTTGGGAGATGTGGTATCTTTGCTCCCTGGCCCTCCCACTCCTAATGTCCTAATGCAGCTGGCCTGAGCAGCCTCCCACATGAGCCACTTCTTTCTAGCTGTCTCTGTTTCCCTTAGCCCCAGTGCCACTTTCTTCCCAGCCACCAGTGCTTCTCACCTCAGAACCACTTGGGCTTCCTGAAACCCAACACCACCTTCCCCAGGGCTTCCCTCAGCCTCTTTCCTACCTTCTTTCATGGCTCTTCTTTCACCCCCGACTAAGTGCACTGCTCAGTTGTCACTCAGTTGTCAGAGTTAACCAGCCAGCATCAACCAAGTCCTTAAATTCCCCACCAGTTTGCCTGAGGCAAAGCGCCTTTCCACTGCTGACATCCTCCCTTTAGCAGCCTGTTAGCTTGTCATCAGTACCTAAGACTTAGAGTTCCGTTTCTTGTTCCACTTCACTGTCTGTCCATCTGTCTATACTGCCAGATGTTAAGCAGTCGGCTTTCTTTGCCTCAAGCTGTCTGCTCTGTTGAAACTTCTTACACTGATTCTTGCCAGCAATGCAGAGAAAGCAAATGAGCACTCAGCCAAGGATCAGAAGTTCTGGCTCTGCCATCAACAAATCCTTCTACTTTAGGTAAATCCTTTTTCCACCTCTATAAGATAGTGAAGTTAGGGTAGCTGATCTTACAGTGTCTTCCAGCATCCAGTGTTCCTTGTAACCCCTGGGCAAGTCTTTTCCTTCATTTATCAAACACTTGCTGTATTGGTCAGACTTTTTGTCACTGTCACAAAATACTTGAAATAAACAGTTTGAAAGGAAGAAGGATTTATTTTACTCATATTTCAGAGGTTTTAGTCTGTTGTGGCCGGGAGTGAATGGCAGAGCAGAGTAGTTCACATCATGGTTGCCAGGAAGCAGAGAGAATGCTTGCAGTAGCTGCCTTTCTTCTTCCTCGGCTTTTAGTCTATCTGGGCATCCAGCTTATTGGGTGGTGCTGCCCACATTCA